AAGTAAGGTAGCTCACTGGAAAACTGAGATTCAGGAGAGACTGCTATTTGCCCAAGTTCAGAAAGATAGTGTCAGAATTGGGACTTGAACCTGGAATTTCTGACAATAGGCCAGCATGTTTTCCTATAGGTGTTGTCTAACATGAGACTTGACCTAAAGAGTACACTACTAACTGAAAATGATATGTAAACACATATGGAAAAGTTAAATTAGAAATTAAGCACCATGTTATAGAGGCAAAATAAATGATCTGAACTAAATCATTGACCTATACTAAATAACGATTGACATAAACTGAATGAGGAAAGAAGATTGGACGCTGAGGTGGCTTTATTAGAAAAAAAACCCCTAATAATTAGAGAATTCTAAATACTTTTTAAAATTTCAATTTTGGACTTGGAAAATTTCCTTGCAGCTTTCATAAAGGAAAGTCAAGGAATCTTTTATTTGACCAAAGAAACTAACTAACGGCAATGTATATTATATAAGGCAAAAATGTAACCCTCCAAAAGCTGTAGACATCTAAAATGCTATTCTCTGTCTTTCCCAGTAGATTACAATTCTATAGAAATACTGCATGTGCTGTTGTTTTGTTCTTGATAATGCTTTGTAATAGTATAGGATGAACTAATATTTGCTGCCAGACACATTGAAGTGGAAGATGGAAATTAAATTTCTGAAACATTTCCAAAGTGTGTCCACATTTTGAGAGCAGTTCAACCACTATTTGTTTACACTCTTAATTTTCTTCCTAATGATAACATTTAATAGTAGAATCATCCCCAAATTGCTTGGGTCAGAAGAAATTATGTTGCATTTGATAATTCAATTAATTTGTTTACTTAATGACCTGGTTTATAGATATAATATGGAAATGAAACCATTGGCTAATTTACCATCAAACATACGGTAGATACATTCCTATTTTTGAACCATAATCTGCTAAAACTATAAAGAATTATATGAACTGGGTTGACTCTATAGAAAGTTGCAAATTGAATAATACTGGTTCTTGCGGAGAAGGAAACAAAAAAACAGGTTTGAATTAAAAGAGAAAAAGGAAAGCACTTAGTGTGAATAAACCTAGAATTTACATGGCAATTTTTTTTAGCAACTCAAATAAATCCGAGCAAAAGAGAAATTGTCTACAAAGTGTACAAAGTGAGTGGACTGTATGAGATAGACCCACTATAAAATTTATTTCTGCTCTTAAAAAACTATGGTCAAAAATAATTTAGCTGTACATTTAAAAATAACTGAAAGAGTATTACTGGGCTGTTTGCAACAAAGGATAAGTGCAGGAAGTGATGGATACTCCATTTACTTGATGTAATTATAAAACACTGCATGCTTATATCAAAATATTTTATGTAACCTATAAATATAGACACCTAGTACATACCCACAAAAATTAATAATTTTTAATGTAGATGTTACTTTGTAAAAGTTTTTTTAATCACAAGACTATTCTGATTGCAAGAAGCAAAGTACATTTTGAATTAGCTTACACTAAATAAATCAATAAGTTTATAAGGGGTGCGCCTAATTCAAAACTGAAGAATGAATGAGAGAAAAGGAAATTAAGAGAAGGTCACTACAATAATCCGCAAAAGAGACAATGGTGTTCTCAAGTGGCATATTAGTGAAGGAAATGGCTAGAAATGAAAAGACAAAGAGATACCTTTGATGCAGAAATGACAGATCTTCTTAATTATTGGGTGTTGAGATATGTACAACGAGGTGAGTGACCAGGCAAATTTGTTTTTGTTCTTGTTATTTTGTTTTGTGTGTTTTCTTCTATTGCTTTTATAATTTTACTGTCACATTTAAATCTCTAAGTCACAGAGTATATAAGTTGAAGGGAAACACACATAACACAATTTTTAAAAAGACAAAACAGTCTCCCACAGATCAGGGGTAATTGTGTATCATTAATTGAGGAGTATTATCATCTCAGTTCTGAGCATCTGAGGGCATAAAAATAAAGTACAATAAAACAAAAAGTTTTCAGTAGAGAAATTAATAAGTAATTATAACAAACACTCTGTATTTACATTCATGCAGTTAAGTCATATCTCAGATAGTTACACCCTGCAGTTGAAAAAGGCCATAGAGATTACCTACTAGTGCCAATTCTATTTTGAATAAAGACACTGACTTTCATAGAAATCAGTTAGTAACAGCTAATACAACACAACATGATGTTAGCAGAGCTGAGACAGCTTTGTTTTCCCAATGATCTAATCAGTGTTTCTTATACTCTTCCATTTTATTTATTCATTCATTGTTATTCTGGCATATACTATGTACAAGAGAAGGCGTATGTTAGATGTTATAGAGAAGGCCAAAAGTATGTCCTTGTGGCTGAGACTCTACAGTTATATTCAGAACACTATAATAAGTATATTAAAGTATAATACAAGAAAACATCGAAAGTCCAAACAAGTGTTTGGATATAGCTTTTAAGTTCAAATGAGAAAAAACATAAAGCCATGATTAATAATTCTTGCCAAGCACGTTAGTAAATGCTTTACAGATCTTCTCTCACATAATCTTCTCAACGCAACTCACAAAACAGTTATTATTAAACCCCATTTACAGATAAAGACATACTGAGAGTAACTTAGTAAAGTACAAAAGATAGTATAGCAGCTAAATGTCCAAACCATGGCAGTGACTCTAATCATCGTATTGTACTGCTCACCTACAGCAGTAGGAAGGATGAAAAAATTTTGGACATAACAAGAGACGCATAGGACAAAAAGTATGCATAGAATTATGAGAAAAAGGAGGAATATCACGGGTAGAAAAAAATATATTGCAAGTATTCACAGAGATGGCAAAGTGCATGTGTGTTTGTAGAACAGTATTAGAAAATTACGATGGAAAGTTAGGAAGGGCCAAAGAGTCAAAGGGACTGAGTACCAAGGCAAATTGTTGGGTTTTATATTGTGAGCAGTGGGAGATATCGAACCTTTCTGAGCACAGGAGACACATATTCAAAACAGATTTTTACGAACATTAATAGTAGTGCTTTTTTCCTTTTAAAATGGCAAGAGTATGCCATTTTAAAAGGAAAAAAAAGCAAAAAGACCCAAGAAAGCATTGAAATATTTTGAAAACCAGGACAGCAACCAGACTAGAAATAATAACTAGCCAGATTTGTTTCAAAAGTCCTCATCACCAGTTATAACACAGCAGATTTGCTTTTTTACCAGCTGAGAAAAAAAATGCCCTCACTTCCACTGTTTGTTTTTACTCATTGGAACCATTTTCGATCATAATTACATTCAATAATATTTTGAATAACTGAAATGTTGATTCTTAGTTATGAAAACTCTTGGGTTTTGTTATAGTATGAAATTATTGAGGATTGACTCTACTTACCAAAGGAATCCCTAAATAAAAATATATAGCTGGAGTATCTATCCAAAATCCAACTTGAATTACACATGTTCCAAATACTTCCCATTGCAAAGGACCCTCTGCATAAATTGCTGAGAACTCAGCACATGTTTTATAATAAAAGATAATGTAATCAAGTGACCGGCAGCCCATTTCAATACCAAAATATTATAAGAATACTTTGTGTGAAGAATCTGTACGACTTATTTTTAACAAGGGAAAAAAAAGAATACAAAGTAAAAAGAAATTTTCTATAATGTGAGTGGATTGGGCAAAATAGACCTTTCTAAAGAGTCTCCTTCCTCCCTCCAAAAAAAAGAAAAAATAGAACACCTATTCCGAGCATTTCTTCAATCCCACACTCAGTCAAACCATAATGACTCTACTGGTAGCTTGAAATTGGCCATTTGGGAAGAACATACAGCACAGAAATCAGTAAAGGCAACAAATCTGGGCAGTTTTTTATCCCAGAGTCAATTTTCCAATACATAACTAATTATAAAGGTTCCAAATGTTTTCTTGATTCGGGAACCTTGATTCTTGTGAAAATATTTGAGAATTTGATGACTGAAATAGAAATCTTATAGAGGACATTTGAAATATAAAAATCAGTTATGTTTTATTTTTTAAAGAACAGAAGTCTTCTAAGATTTATCATTTTCCCTTTGTCACAGAAAGGCTTCCAAAATGTTTTGCCATACACTACCTAATTTTGAGGCTGTTAATGAGAAGGCTCCTTAAATCTAATTGTCTACTTCACTTGTTTTCAAATACTAAAATGCTGATGGTGTTAAAACACAAACTCCTGAGTCATACACACTCTGAGAATTTCTGATTCTATAGGTTTGGGTTGGGGGTCAAGAATGTGCATTTTAAACAAGTTTCTGGATGATGCATATGTTCCTGGCTTAGGCCCCATACTTTGAAAACCATTGGACACTTAACCATATTTTCTTAGCAACTAGAAAAATTGCCCTAAATAATATTAAATATATTAACTTTCTGATGAAAATCCTTTTAAAAGGTAAGGGTTAGGCTGGGCACAGTGGCTCACACCTTTATTCCCAGCACTTTGGGAGGCGAGGCAGGCCGTATGCTGGAGTGCAGGAGTCCAGTCTGGGCAACATAGCAAAACCTCATCTCTACCAAAAATACGAAAATTAGCCAGGCATGGTGGTGCATGCCTGTAGTCCCAGCTACTCAGGAGCTGAGATGGGAGGATCACCTGAGCTCCAGAGGCTGAGGCTGCAATGAGCCGAGATCACACCACCGTACTCCAGCCTGGGCAACAGAACGAGACCCTGTCTCAAGAAAATAAATTAATTTTAAAAAGGTGATAGGCCAGGTGCAGTGGCTCATGACTGTAATTCTAGCACTTTGGGAAGCTGAGGCAGGCAGATCACTTGAGGTTAGGAGTTCTAGACCACCCTGGCCAACATGGTGAAGCCCTGTCTCTACGAAAAATACAAAAATTAGCCTAACATGGAGGTGCATGCCTATAGTCCCAGCTACTGGAGAGGCTGACGCAGGAGAATCACTTGAACTCAGGAGGCAGAGGTTGCAGTATGTTGAGACTGTGCCACTGCCCTCCAGCCTAAAAGACAGAGTGAGACTCTGCCAAAAAAACAAAAAAAGAAAGTAATGGTCTACATTCTTCAGAATTACTTACCAGACATAATTTAGTATTCCTTAAATAAGGCATCTCTCTCTGGGCCATTAAGTCATCATTTTAATATCAGTTCTCATTTTTCATCAGTATTTGAAAATCTAGCCTTGGACTTTGTCCCTGTCTCTCTCTCTCTCTCTGTCTCTCTCTCACACACACACACACACACACACGTGCACACACACGTACACAAAAAACACCACTTCCAAATCTGTTTTGGATTTATTATTGTCCCTTTAAGTTGAAGCAAAGCCACTTCACTTTTCAACTTAACTTTTTGCCCCAAAAGTAGAAATACCTATTTTTTCTCTCTTAGGGTTTTTGTGTGAACCAAGTACATAATGCCGGTATATGTTGAGCAATACAATTGACAATGCTCAAGTATTCAAAGATATACTATAATAGTGAATCTGATTTTTATTTGAAAACTGAATTACTTTGCAAAACAAATAGGAAAGATAAAATAGCTATAAAAAATGTCAGAGGACCTTATTTAAACATCTTGAATCTTACTTTAAATACAGCATTATACATACCTCAAAGAATGTCCATCTATGAGTTTATTCACTTACATATCATTAAACTAATATTTATTGAGTGCCTACTATATATCAGTTAGTGTGTACTGGGAATATAGCACTGAAAAACAAAAGACAGGAAGACCAGTGTCATGACTTGTAGAGTCTACTAGGGCATACAGATATTAATCAAATAATCATGTTAGTGAACTTTTCAGTTAAGGATGAATAATTTACCCAAAGTAAATTAGATAAATTTAGTGCTACTGTGAGTGCATATTATAAAAAATAACTGACCTACATTTGAGAATCAAAGAAATGGTCCATAAGGAAATGATAATCCCATGCTGAAATCTGGAGAATTAACAGGAGTTAACTAGGCAAAAAGATAACAGTGTTCCACAAGGAGGAAGCAGTGTGCACAGAGCCCTGGGGTGAGTGAGAGGATGCTGGAGTGTTGAAAGCTATGAAAGATAGTATAATAGCCCTGGTAGTAGGAAGGGAGTGGAGAGAAAGATTGAGAAAAAGTGAGCATTACGGTAAGGCTGGATAGATCATAAGAATTTTACCATGGTAAGAATTTTAATTGCCTTAACAACAGAAAGGCAAGGGTAGGTTATAAGAAGTAGAGAGAGAGATATAAACAGATTTGTTTAAAATATCACTAGCTTGGTTGCTTTCGGTACATTGAATTGAATAAAATACATGACTAAATTAATTTCACTATTTTTTCCTCTTCTAATGTGCCTACTAGAAAACTTAAAATTTTATGTGTGGCTCTCACATTTTATATGGAAAGTCTTAAATAAACTTTATTTTTCTCCATGGCTTTGGGCAAGGTATATGAGGAAAAAGTCAACAAACAACTCTTTGTTCTTTTTAGGTAAGATTCTTTTTAGGTAAGATTTTTTAAAATGTCTAAGTACTACTAAACATCTAGAAATTTATAAACTATGTATGAATCACACCATAGGAACTTACACACATAATTCAGACCCCAGGCTTAGACATTTAGCCTAAAGCAGTAGAAAAAACATTCTAGGATAGTATTGTGCATCAGAAATATAATGAGAGTCAGGTGTAAAATTTTAAGTTTTCTAGTGGTCACATAAGAAACCTAAAAAGTGAAATTAATTTAATATTTTATTTAACCCCATGAATCGAAAATCTTATTTCAACATTCAATCGATATATAATTATTGAGATATTTTCCATTTCTTTTCTAGTATTATGTTTGGGATCCAGTGGTTTTTTTGACTCTCACAGTGTATCTCATTTCAGAGTATTCACATTTTAAATGCTCAATACCTTCATGACTAGTGGCTGCTGTATCACACATCACAGCTCTAGGTGGTTCTGGTATCTTATTCTTCCCCTAACAGTAACCAATTTGGTGACCTTAAAGTCACTTAATCTTTAGATTTCCTTTTGTCATCTATGACATAGGCATAATATTCATTTAATCTGCCTCAAAAGCTACAATAATAAAATAATGAATTTAAAAACAATTCAATATATTTGAATATTCAACTCAATAGCTCATATTAAGAATGATTTCCATCTTACTTTACTCTCATGATTTTTATCCCTTGAAAATTAATCATAAAAACAAACACCAGAAAGGATAACTAATACTAAAACAAATATCAGTACTATTTGTGCTGCGATAGCTTTAAAAATATACTAAATGTTGTTAGGTTTTCTATGAATTAAATTAGAACTCACACAAATTTCCCTTAGGAATAGAGTTATTAGCCAATTATTCAAAAGGAACATACATGGGCATTTTAATAAATTATAAATATCTAATGATGCTCTTGTGCAAATACTAGGCAGATGCCTTGGCTATGAGAACCACAAGCATTTTCACTACTCAGGAAATTGATAATAGCCTAGATTAAGAAGGAAATTATGAAAAACAGCCCAGAATTTTAATTAACATTTAAATACTCTAAGCTGAAATCACAATGATATAACAAATAATGCAGCAACTCCAGATTTATATAACTTTATAGAACTGCTGAAAAGTAAGTGAATTTATTAAATAAGGTGTTCAGTACCTTATTTTCCCAGACATCTTTTTTTTCATTTTTAAAAAAAGAAACAGTGTATCACGCTCTGTCACCGCATCTGGAGCGCAGTGGTACAATCATAGTTCACTACAGCTTCAAACTCCTGGGCTCGAAAAATCCTCCTGTCTCAGCCTCCCAACTGGCTGGGACTAGAGATGTGTACCACTGCACGTGGCAAATTTTTTAAGAAAATTTTTATAGAGATGGGGGTCTCACTATGTTGCTCAAGCTGGTGTTGAACTTCTGGCCTCAAGTAATACTCCCGCCTCAGCCTCCCAAAGTGCTGGAATTACAGAAGTGAGCCACTGTGCCTAGCCCCAGATATCTTAATGATATCCATTTGATACAAATGATTTTAATTATTTAGTTATCATATGCATCATGTGATATGCATCATAAGAAAACCTAAACAGGCTTTGAATTATTCCCTACAACTCAAATGTGTCACTGCAACTAGTATTTTGTGTGCTAAGAGGGTTGGGTGTTCTGTCACCTGTATTCTTGAATTCTAGATCAAAACTTAAACCCCTATTGCATTTACAGTTCAATGCTAAGACTGGTATAATACCCCTCTATAATTTTTCAAATCTGTTATAAATATCAGGCCACTTGGAATAAAATTTAATACTGTAATGATTCTAGTGCTTTGCTAAAAGTGCTACCACCTTTAAAGATTCCCATTGTGGTAGATACTGCCTGAATGTCTCTAATTCTTCGCCTTTCTGTGCACCCATTTTGCTACATGGCTTTCACTAATAATTACTGATGAGGTTCAATGTATACCCTTGCTCTTTTTGTGTACCTTTTTCTTGTAGCAAAATATACATAACATAAAATTCATTATTTTAGCCATTTTTGAGTGTACAATTCTGTGGCACGAAGTACATTCACATTATGCAATTATTACTACCATCCATCTTCAGAATTCTTTTGTCTTCCCCAACTGAAACCCTGTATCTATTAAATATTAATTACCAATTCCCGTCCCTGGAGCAACTCGAGTTCCTGGCAACCACCACTCCTCTTGCTATGAATTTGACTACTCTAGGAACCTAGTAGAAGTGGAATCATACAATATTTGTCCTTTTGTGACTGGCATAATTCACAACGTAATGTTTTCAAGTTTCAACCATGCTCTAGCATGCATCAAAATTCCCTTAAGACTGGATAATAGTTCATTGTACATGGGTACCACATTTTGTTTATCCTTTCATCTGTTGATGGACACCTGGGACACTTCTACTTCTGGCTTTTGTGAATAATGCTGCTACTGAACAAGGGTGTGAAAATATCTGTTTGAACCCAAGTTTTCGATTATTTGAAAATTAAATTCTTTTAATTCTTTGAGTATGTACTTAGAGAGAGAATCTCTGGATCACATTGTAATTCTATGTTAAAATTTTTGAACAATCACCATACCATTTTCTATAACAGTTCCATCATTTCATATTCTCACCAACAATGCAGAAGTGTTCCAAATTCTCTATATCCTTTCTAACACATGTTAATTTCAGGTTTCATTTCATTTTGTTTTATTTTTCCAGCTTAATGGATATAAAGTGATATCTCTTTGTGATTTTGATTTGCCTTTATACTCTTACTCATGAACCTGGCTGGTTTTGTGACTAATTTTAGTCAATGAAATACTAGCAATGTGACTCATGAATAAGATTGAAAACGTGCTTGGACATGTCTCTTGCCCTCTGCTAGTAATGGATGGTCCCTGAGTTACAATGGTTCAACTTAACAATTTTTAAACTTTATGATGGCTTTAGCAAGGTATCTAATGCATTTTTGACTTAAAATATTTTTCATTTACAATAGGTTTATTGGAATGTAACCTCATCATAAGTCAAGGAGCATCTACACAATGGGAAGAATATACTCAGGCTTACCCGTTGAAGAAAGGGATATGAGGAATGAACCAAACTACTCAAGTCAGCCCAGATGAGGACATCTTAGGTAAGGCAACCAGTAGCTGATCCTCAACCAAACATGTGAGTGAGCTCGCCAAGATGAGCAGCACCTCCAAGCTAATTCTTGTTGGCTGCAGAGGCATATGCGAGCCCAGCTGAGACCACTTAAGCATAGCCATGTCAGTCAATCCTAGTTCCAATCAGCAAAACCCTACAGACTCAAGGCTGAATAAATTGTCATTTTGTTTGTTTATTTTGTAGTATTACTACAAACACTGGATAAATCATACACAATCTGTGGTAGGAAACCAAAAATTAAATAATTACATGAAAGCCTGCTGCTAAATAATAAATTAAGGTGCAAATATGGTGGTAAGAATGTGACAAAAGGAAAGATCAAGTTGGTTAATATTGCTGCAGTACAGTGGACAGACCAGAAGAATGAGGATGGAAAAGCAATCTTGCTCTTTTGAGAAAGTATATGTTTCCCTGTCTCCATTCACTCTGTCAAACCATGGACAGTGTGTTTGGCTCCAGAAACCCTTTTCTAAAAATCTATTAGCTGAGAAAGCAAAGAAACAAGGACAATGGTTTGTATCCACGTAAGATCAGGAAGGTCACAAGTCCAGGCATAACAGTCTTTCTAACAGGCAGACTACAAAATTCTTACTGGCTGCACAGCTATTATTTTCACTTACATTCCAATCCTTGTGACTCTGGTCATCTCCAAACTTTGTTCTATTTTATACCTGGCCTACTGTAAGTCTCTATATTTCCTACGTGATCTTTGTCAACATTTGAGTCAGAACTTTTGGTATGGAATTATAACTTCCATTGGTTTTCTCTCGTGTTTCTCAGAAATGCAACTTTTCAGAAAATACAAACTAAACACAACTGGGATGTTGTGGATGATACACCTAGCTTGCTATTAAAAATTGTTTTCTTTCACTGTGAAAACGCAAGTTCCAAGAGTTTTAAACACAGGACTAGAAACAATTATAATCTCCACTCTCAACCTTTGCTTTCTTTCTCTGTGATATTTTGCACAGTATTCTTATAGTTGTCATTAGCATCAGTATTTTCATTGGTCGTGAATTGAGCTGTAGAGCACACTCACAACGAAGCCAAGGGAACGTAATGCCAATTTTTGTTCTGTGATCAATTTGAAATGGCTTGCCATTTGGGTCCTGACTGAGACAGATTAACAACATCTTACCACAAAATGCTATTGATCAATCTACTGTTTAAAAACAGTTACCATGGAATTGTGTTATTTCTGATACCTCATCTCCCTTTATTTAACTTTATAGTCTAACATTATTTTCATAAACAGACACCCTTTTCCAGCAATGTCAAAGCACACAATACTACACGGACTTTATTAAAATGCATTTAATGGTGGTGAACATGCCAACAGAACACTTAGTTTCATAAAGAAAAAAACATGAAAAGAAAACAAGAATAAAATCCGGGCCTAATTTCCATACACAAATATCATCTCAAAGATAGTTTTTTTCAGTTTGTATAGATTATGTCATAAGAAATATATCAAAACTATTATTTGACATGTAAAAAAGAAATCTGGTTGTATCTTATTCACCTTAATCTATATAGCAAGAATTTTTAACATGGGAAGCTCAAGCCACCCAGGAGACCATCTATGGAATTCAGGAGGTCCAGGAATTTGAGTGAATACAATTAGATCCCCTTTTCCCACTAACCTGTAAGTGGTTTAGCCTTTCCTTAAGCTATGAATGTAGGCAACAGACCATAGTACTGTTAAAATCTGTGGTTCTCATCAGGAGAAATCAGAATTTTCATATTACTAATACATTAAAGTTGTGCAAATAGTTCAATATATTATTTATGTCCACCACTATATCAAAATTATACTAATAATTAGGTAATCATAGATTCAATTACCAAATGTGTTGAAGAAGTGTATATATTACCATGTCACAAGTTTGTTTTACTATATTTTGTGAAATGTTTTTAAATATAGCTTTTCTTTAATCTTAGGTGTTTTGTGCCCTCAGTAACTTAATTTAGAAAGAGGGTCTACAGGTTTTACCAGGTGCCAAAGGGGTCCATGGTACAAGTATTCTTAATAACCTCTGCTCACCGGAAATACATTTACTAGCAGAAAATTCTTGTTGAACATCTTAAGATAGAAAAAATTTAGCATCACATCTAGCAGAATGAAATTTGATGAGTCACTGACTGAAAACTTTGTGTGGGCAGCCTTAAGGAAAACTAAAATAAGCAATATCCGAGGCCGCTCTCTTTCTCCTCCCTCTGAGCTAAATACCCTTATTCTGCCTTGTACTGAAGTTATCCAGTGTGTTCTCAGAAAGCAAGTGGTTTCCTCTCCTTTTCTAGCAGTTCTCAAATGTTGAGAGTTTTGTCTATACTCTATTAAACAAGGTCTGTGCTAAAAGGAACTGGTAAGTGTGTTAATTATCAATGTCTCATTATAAAATGTGAGAAAAAATAGAGAAGACACCATATATAATCTTGAGTCCAGAAACTCAAGTATCTCTACTTACCCGATTTTCAAAAATTCTAGAAAGGGTCAAGTTCACAAATTTCTCCAATTGGGCTACATTTTAGAGCCTAATTTTCAGGTTTCAGGATCTAATAACCCTTCAGGGGTTTCATCAGACCCTGACAAAATTACCTTCCACCTCTACCATACAACCAAAGATATTTTAGGTTTAATTTTTCTCCTCCTCCTTCTAATAGATCACCCAGATCAAAAGGAGCAGGTATCAAGCATGCACGAATGACGCTCAAAACACTTTGCTCAACCATATCCCCATGGGAAACAGCAGTGATAAATTTTTAGTAATAAATGAAAGTTTGACTAAGCCCTACTAATATTTAGAGTTGGTTAATTTCATGCCAGCCACCGCGGTCATACGGTTAACCCAGCATTGAAGTAAACTTAGATTCTGTCCATAATCTAGGCCATTATGTTATAAAAGAAAAAGGTATAATTGACTCACAGTTCAGCATGACTCAGGAGGTCTCAGGAAACTTAATCGTGGCAGAGGGGGAAGCAAACACATCCTTCTTCCCATGGCAGCAGCAAGAAATGCCTAGCAAAAAGGAGGAAAAACCCTTTATAAAACCATCAGATCTCATGAAAACTAACTATCACAAGAACAGGATGGGGAAACTGCCCCCATGATCCATTTATTTCCACCTGGTCCCTCCCACAACACGTGGGGATTATGGGAACTACAATTCAAGATGAGATTTGGGTGGGGACACAGCCAAACCATATTAAGTTGGATTAGGTGTCTTAGTTGATTCCTGCTGTTACAGGAAAATACCATAGACTGGGTAATTTATAAGTGGTAGAAATTTATTTTTCATAGTTCTAGAGGCTGAGAAGTCTAAGACAGTGGCACCAGCAAATTCACTGGCCGGTGAGGGCTGTGTGGTGCCTTCTCTGTGTCCTCACATGGCACAAGGGCAAAAGGGATAAATTTGCTCCCTCCAGTCCTTTTGTAAGGGCACTAATCCCATCCACCCTCATGGCCTAATCACCTCCTATGGACCCCATCTTTTAATACTATCACCTTGGGGGTTAAGGTTGCACGTATAAATTCAAACACACATTCAAACCACAGCACGAGGGAAATGAATTCATCTCCTTTGCTGAATTTGAACATAATAAAAATCACAAGAAATGTTTCTTCTTACCTGTGAAAGACTCTCTGAAAGACGTGTGGACCAGTATTCCAAAGTCCAGATGTTTTCCAAAGCTTAATGTATCTGTATATGTCTTCAGTATAATTTAGTTGATCCCATTTCATGTTCCTTTTCATAGACTTGGATATACGAATTGACATATATTCACTCCTGGTGAGGCTAGCAGCATATGATATAAAATATCACAAAATAGCAAATGGTTAAGCCAAGTTCTTTTTTTCTTTCTCCATTCCTCTATAATCTAGGGCACCCAGTTGATGGGGCAAAAGGAAAATTTTAAGATGAAGTTTTAAGTTGAAATTGGATAGGTTAAAAAAAAATGTATTCACATTTTTCTGCCTACCTCAAGGGAAATGTACTAACTGAGGATCACATTGAAATGGAGGTGTGTTCAGACACTTCCTGAGTTTTTATATTTAACTTCCTTTAGACTCAGAGCAAGAACACAGGGAGCCCACCTCCATTTCACATCCTGTTAGCACATTTCATAGGGAAGGGAAGAGATGATTGAATAGTTAGAATCTGTACAATTCTAATTATGTGGGATGCTGAAATAAGATTAGCAAGAATTGAAATGCTGAAAAGCAAACAATATCCACAGAAATGGGGTTAAGGAAAGTCTTGGCATTATTTAAGAGTATACATCTCTTTCTAACTAGCATATTATAACAAGAATATTTAAGTTTAGTACATACTACAGAGCAAACTGAGGCTGTCTCTCTTTTGTTAAGGTATAGATCTTTAACCTTTTTTGAACTGAAGAACTTCAAGGGTAAAAAACAAGCACCCCTGAAGTGTGAGGGTTCACACATGTTCTAGTATAATGAGCAATTAGTAACTGCAATGTCATCTGTAGGAGAAACATGTCACTAATCCATTTAGACATGTTCAGGGCCCCTCTGCTTGCAGATCACCTCACTTTGAAGTATTAAATACATCCAGTATTAACATATGATAAAGGAAAACATGGATTAGATAAACCCAAATGTTTCAATAGATATATAAACACCGATGTGAACAGTATCATCTTTGAACAATACAATTAATATGACTGACTTCTATAAAAAATTTATTCACTTGGCTCTTTGACACAGTACCTGCTTTTACCCTCCCCAAATATTATTGAACTGCCAAGTTGTATTTGGCTAAAAGCTTTGGGCTATTTAAATGAAATTACACTTAAAAGTACTTACAAGGTCAGAGGACATCTTCTCAGATTTTGGCAAGATCGTTGCCATTTGTTCAATTAAGTCACTGATGATCTGAAAGTAATTCTTGTGCTGGGGAGAGAAAGTTACATAATGTCCATCTACATGACAAGCATCTGAATGGGTATTCACTGTGTCTGAGAATCTAGAAAGTCAAAGTTATGATGAATGCAGGGCTTACCTGGTGAGATGGGGGTGGTGACTTAAGAATTCAACAACTTTAGGTTAGCTGAATCCACAGGTAGATCAGATATTAAAATAACACAGTACTCTCAGCTTTCACAAGAGCAGAGTCAGGACTAGACTCGGTGGCTCATGCCTGTAATTCCAGAAATTTGGGAGGCCAAGGTGGGTAAATCACTTAAGGCCTCTAGTTTGAGACCAGTCTGGCCAACATAGGGAAAGCCCGTCTCTAGTAAAAATACAAGAATTTAGTCGGGTGTGGTGGAACAGGCCTGTAATCCTAGCTACTTGGGAGGCTGAGGCAGGAGAATCACTTGAACCCGGGAGGTAGAGGTTGCAGTGAGCCAAGACTGCGCTATTGCACTCCAGCCTCGGTGACACAGTGGGACTCTGTTTCAAGAAAAAGAAATAAAGAAAGTCGAATTGAGTCTGAGAGTTGATGCCTTCTTATATTTTGCACGTTGGTTGCTTGCTTGCTGCACCCAGCCCTGCAGGAATTTTAAGCGTTTTGATACTTTCAGTCACATTTGATGTTAGGGTGGATATGATACAGGAAGGCAGTATTTTCCTAAGTGTAGCTTAAGGTCCACTGAAATCAGGAGTATCTGAAAAACCTGGAAAAACTTGGATTTCTATACTCTCTCTTTTAATCAGAGAATGAAGCTTGACAATCTGCATTTATACCATGTATTTTGGGTGATTCCAATGCATTTTAGAGTAGATCTTCCAGTATTTTCTGCATAATTGGATGATTGATTGAGCGAATCAACAGAATGTAAGTGGAGACTTAGGCAGTTGTTTGAAAATGATCTTGTACTGGCCGGGCACAGTGGCTCACACCTGTAATCCCAGCACTTTGGGAGGCCGAGGCAGGCAGATCACAAGGTCAGGAGATCAAGACCATACTGGCTAACATGGTGAAACCCTGTCTCTACTAAAAATACAAAAAATTAGCTGGGCGTGGTGGCGGGCACCTGTGGTCCCAGCTACTCGGGAGGCTGAGGCAGGAGGATGGCATGAACCCAGGAGACGGAGCTTGCAGTAAGCCGAGATCGCGCCACTGCACTCCAGCCTAGGCAACAGAGAGAGACTCCGTCGCACACACACACCCAAAATAAAATTAAATTAAAAATAAAAATATAAATATAAATAAATAAATAAATAAATAATCTTGTACTCCACATTTTTCTTGAACTAAAAAAGAAAATAACTGGAAAGAAGAATATCTGCATATGAATTTACTCATTCATGTAACTTACCATGTTGCTTTTTCTAATAGAATATATTCTAAGAACTTCAAATAATTTTATATAGAAACATTGAATTTATTCTGAAGTATTTAATGGTAGGTAACTGTAAATACTATTTTCATAGGCAGGTAAAAACAAATAATTGAGTTTCTTAAACTTTTCTGAATTTACATTTCTTAATTTTTGGTCCCTAATATTTTACCAACCCATTCATCCAGAATGATACTAAATTAGCACAATATATACTCTTAAAACAGAATATCTTTAAAGATGTCCCCTAAAACAGGAGCAAAAATAAAATACAAGTTTTATACTATTCCACAGAAAACACGGGATTCTGATATTCCCTTGAGGGATATCTCTTCAAAGGTTATCTTTTGAATCAACCTAAACAGAAGACATACTTCTATTTACAAAGCTGGAAGAATGATAAGAACTGCCATTAGACTTCCAATTGTAGAAACACCTAAATTTGCAGTTTACAGGTTGTCCTGTTTCTGCTACGAAAGGATGTTTTATGCTTTTCAGTCTTGAATTCATGTTTGTTTCTTATGTAATATACAACTCTCTTGGGTCCAGCAAAGCCTTACTTGATAGATACTCTGTTATCCCATTTATTGCAGCAATGATTATGATATGAAGACCTATTTTGGTGCTAATAAAATCATATCGTAGGCTCAATAGCTAAAGAGGCAGAACGGAATGGCCCACCACGGTACAGTTTTTGAGAAAATATTGCAGTAGAATCATCAGCGAGGGAAAAAGTGATTGTTTATGTGTTAGTTGAACATCGATTATAGCACTTTGGGAGATTATTGAATGGTGTTTTGGAATTTGAGAGTTTTATGAATATGGCAAAAGCTTTTTTGCCTCTTCTAGGAACCAAAAACCTACTTTCAGTTTTTTTAGGTTCAGATTCTAAGGGTACAGATTCTAAGAAAGGATGAATATTCTGTCTTTCATACCCAATTACGAGCACCAGGTCTCAGTCTCACAATATTTGACTCTTTCCCTACAAGTAAAATGAGCAGACAAATGAGGTTATCAATACCTAGACTGATGTGATCAAGAAAGTAGAGATTGCGGACCGGGCGCAGTGGCTCACACCTGTAATCCCAGCACTTTGGGAGGCCGAGGCGGGTAGATCACGAGGTCAGGAGATCGAGACCATCCTGGCTAACACGGTGAAACTCCATCTCTAGTAAAAAATACAAAAAACTAGCTGGGCATGGTGGCGGGCGCCTGTAGTCCCAGCCACTCAGGAGGCTGAGGCAGGAGCATTGCTTGAACCTGGGAGGCAGAGGTTGCAGTGAGTCAAGATCATGTCATTGTACTCCAGCCTAGGCGACAGAGCAAGACTCAGTCTCAAAAAAAATAAATAAATAAAAGTAGAGAATGCAAACATGATAAACCACAAACAATGGAAATATGAGTTTAATGTACACAAGAAATAAGGAAATATTATGGGGAACATTAATAAAATAGGCTTCTGATTCTTTTAGGGTATTCCTCTAGCTAGCCTCTTTAGTAAGGCTAAAATATGAAACAGTGTTTTCCAAAGTGATGCCTTGGACAATTTGTATAAAAATCAGTTAGAGAACTTGTTCAAAGTAATTTCATCAGAAATATATTCCTCTCTATCTCTCAACTCTGCTTTATTATGTTGGCATCATCTTCACGCAGGTTCTCTTTTGAGATATTTATAGGCAGCTCCAAGTTTCTAGGCTCCTCACAGTTAGCAAAACATGAGCTCTTCTGTTCCAGACTTTACTAAGATTGTATCCTACTGGCTTGTGTCACATTGCTGATTCCTGAACCAGTCATTGTGAAAACATGAAATAGGCTGTTTGACCAGTCCTGGGTCATTTGCCCAACTATGGTGACAAAACATCTGGTGAGTCCCATTTAAACCTTAGGAACTAAGAATATAGGCCGGGTAGTTGCCCTTTGAAATCAAGCTGTAGCTACCAACAAATTAAATAAAAGGTACCAGCCTGACAAAAACCAAGCCTTCTATGGGATACTTTATATATGCTCATGTATTTATTGTATAAATGAAAGTAAAGCTCCCAGGAAGGACTCTTAAAATTCTTCATGGCTCTCATCATTTTTGTCCTTGCTCTGTCTTTCTTTATCTCATATATTTCTACACCAGACTGACTCTCATTATTTTCCCTACATAGCTTAGTCTTCCTGCCATCTTCCCATAGAATAACGATGGTTTCCTGGAAAGCAGACTAAGAACATACAACAAACTGTTAAGGGTGTCATTTGAGTTTGCAATTGAATTCAGCTACTAAAGCAGACACCTGCAATAACAATTGCTTGAGCAAGGTAAAGTTTTACTTTTTTTTTAATTAAGGAAATCCAGAAGAGCTAGGCAGACCAAAGCTGGCATAGAAAATTCACAATATTCTCACCCCAGGCCCCTTCCATCTTCCTATCCCACCATCATTAACACATGATTTTCGTTTTCAAGTTTGGATTCCTAAACTAAACCAAAGAAAAGCAGATGCAGCTCCAGCTATCATGTCACCATCAAGGAAGAAACAGAAGAGCGGGAGGATAAACAGGAAACATCTCTGTGCCAAGGTGATTCCTTTATAAAATTTTCCTGGAGTCCTTACCAAATGACTTCTGCTTACATTGCATTTGTGATTTTTATTTGCAGAAGAGGCTGGGACTTGCCGTTTTGTTTTGTGTAGATCATGCTACTTCCCTACCCCATTTCCACAATTCAAGCAACCGCTACTAAGGAAGAAATTGAGGACAACAACTGTTACTAAGGAAGAAATGGAGAAATGGACAACTTTTTTTTTTTTTTACCACAGTGGTGATATTAGTGATATTAGTGATGGAATTATGGAAGACCTCTCCCATATTATATATTTATGCAATGTTTGAATTTTCACAGTATTTTGATAAACATGAAGACAAAGACAGGGAATCTGTGGAATATAATGTAGGTTATATCTACAACAGGGGTGTCACAATACTGGAATACAGACTTATATTATCACATGTTGACCATATGTTGACTATTCTTCCATTATTCCCTTTTTATCCTTATTGCCTTCTCACATACCCACTAAAAAATATATTTAAGCTCAATTCTTTCATTATTTGTTATTGTGACCGGTATATAACAAACATCTGACTATCATTATTTAGAGGTGATGCATGAAGGTTAAAAAATGGTGTGTAGGCAAAAAGCACAAGTTTTCGAATCAGTAAACATATTAATATTGATTAACATACTGTACTACTCTAGCAGGTCACTTTACCATTCTGCTCCTCAGATGCATCCCTTCTAAAAATAAAGGGGGTATTCTGTATCACCAATTGGACAGTGTTTTTTTCAATTTAAATCTATCACAGTCCCCAAGGAAAGCTAGTAATATGTGGATTCTAGAGCCACATCACCAAAAACGTTCATCCAGTAGTCTGCAGTGAGCTAACGAATCTGCATTTTCGCCAAGCACCGGCAGGTGATTTTTGAGAAAGGTATCAGAGGATTATATCTTGAAAACACTACTAAGATATCTTTATTTCTTTCAACTTAATGAGACACACTGAATTTGTCTTTTTGTTTGTTTGTTTTGGTTTTGTGCAACAAGGTCTCACTCTGTCGCCCAGGCT